TTTTTCAGTTCTGCCCTCGGGGCCTTTGCAGAAATGCCCCTGGTACCGTACGTGTCACTGGTACTTATACCGGCTCCCCGTACGGTACGGGGACCAGTCTCGTACCTGTCTCTTATACACATCTAGATGTGTATAAGAGACAGGGTGGGGGAGGCGCAGCTGGTGCGGGAGGAAAAGGGGTGATTGTCGAAGTGACCCCCTCGGGTGGGATTTCACCTGAAAACGAGTCCACCCGAAGGGAAGGCGGTGGAGGTAAGGGGGGGGAGAACGTCGCTGGAAAGCCGGCTGTCTAGTCCGGTGAGGGACCAGCATCCAAGTCCGCCGGAATCCGGACTAAATGGACTGAGGCACCGGGCGTAAGTAGGGAGCCCGATGACCATGATGAGCCAAAGGTCGCCCGAATCCGGACTTCTTCAGAAAGGGCTCCACAGTTGGCGACTATTGTGCCGACGGGTGGGGGTACGCACGTGGGGGTAGGAGAGCGGGCCTCGGGGTTCGACATGGTGTCGGGAGAATTCCATGAATGACATGGGAGGGGCGGAGGGGAAGAAGGGGAAGGAGGGGAAGGAAGGGAGGAAAAAGAGGAATGGGAAGAAGGGGAAGAAGCGCAAGAAGGGGGAGAAGGGGAAGAAGGGGAAGAAGGGGAAGAAAGGGAAGAAGGGGAGGATGTGGGTGAGAAAGGGGATATCCACAGTGGCGACGAATGACTGGGCAATGAGGACGATGCGGCCTATGAGGAGTTTTCTGACTCGTTCGGGCACCTTTACGCGGGCCATCCGAGCCCTGATGTCGACGACGATGCGTCGACAATGGCGATGGAGACGGAGGTGGTCAGTGACCTTTCAGCATACCCTGAAGGCTGAAGAAGATGAGGTTCAACCGTTGACGGCTGCAGTCGATCTCCAACATCGTTCTGTTGAAGTTTCCGCTGTTGTGAGCCCGGCTCAACGAAATCAAGAACTGAGCGTCGTTGAAGTTATACATGGGATACTCGGCGACGAGCAGGTGGTTGGGCAACGGTCTGCGGCGCCTGTATTGGACGACCGCCGAGCCGTCACAACTTTCGTGCCCTCGAACGCCGTCGACTCTCTGATATTGGCCGTCACCTTAACCGAGTGCCAGGAGGGGGATCTAGGGGGCCGACAACATGTCACATCACCGAAAAAATCTCGGGTCGGCACTCAAGCTCTCGACGTGCTGGCCTTGCCCGCGCCAAAGTCGCCGACGAAGGAACGACGGGATAAAGTGGCTGGTAAGCAGTGATGAACGCCGCGTCGTCCGCGCTACACGACTAAAAACATAGCCAAGTCTATTGAATGACATTTTTTTTTCTTTTCATCGACGGAATCGGCGCTTAAGTCCGCCGTGATCCGCACTTCCTGTGTCGATGCGTGAGTTGGTTACTCTTAGTGCGCCTGCCATGGGAAGAGGTCCGCCGGAATCTGAACTCCGTTAGCGTTCCGCTATTGTGGCTTGTTGTTGTTTTCCCTCGTTGTGGTCGGGGTCTCAAGCTCGATTGCGCTTGTCCTATTTTTTCTCCGATGGCACATGACCATGTGCATTCGGACTTCTGTGATTGGAGAGGTCATGTGGTTCTTTTGTATTGTCACTTTCGTCGGACTCGTGTTGGGTGATGTGTATTCATTTTCCGTTTTGTCTTTCTTCTGCTGTACAGGGGTAGGGTCATCTCGAGCACGGAGGTCCTCGAAATATCCGGAACACATATTGCAGAAAGCCCCCGGGTTGACCACAAAACACAAACATATGTTAAAGGCATCAGGGGTTGATGTCGAGATTGGGAAAAAAGAGCTTGCGGATGCCATTGAGGAGTGTCTTTCCCTTCTGCCCCCAGAGAAAGGGACGTATCCCCGGTCTGTAAGTAGGGGTCAGGCAATGTATGAACAATACTTAGCAAACCATCGTGCAATGAAGGACAATGCTAAGACATTCCGTTTCTCACTGCCCCGCGTGTCCTTCGCTCGCTGTTGTGCAGTGCGGGCCACAACTCGTGGAACAAGCGGGGAATCATTCGTTGCAGTTGCAGCGACTGCACCTACCAGCTTCCGGGTTTAGACGAGGCTTGGTGCCGCCTCGCACTGTTCTCTCTGTCCTCGCCGGTGGAGAGTTGCGAATCGCGGCAAAAAAACTTCTCACCCTCATGCATGTCGACGACAGAGTGAATGATGAGGTGGTCAATTTCTTCTTGGCGCTGTTGGGGTCGACCACATCTATGATAAGTGATATACCGTCCGTCCTTCGAGTCTACAGCTTCAATTCGTTCTTCTTCACTAAACTGCAACTTCAAGGATACGGCGGGGTAGAAAGGTGGGCTGCAAACGTGGATCTGCTTCGATACGATATTATCTTTGTTCCTGTCCACAAAGATAACGATCACTGGATCCTCCTTTCCATCAACTTGAGAGACGATGTCCTCGAAATTTTTGATTCTTTTCCTCGCATTGTAGCTGATTCGGGTTTTTACCTTAGTGTTTTCAAATTAATTGTACAATATTTAGAACGTAAGACATTACACAGTCGGTCGTGTACCGGTTGGAGGTCGGTGGCAACAAAGGTTGTGGTGGAAGGAGTTCCAAGGCAAGTGGACGGAGCTAGTTGCGGGGTGTTTATATTGATGTTTGCGACATTGTTACAACGTGGTGATCGACCACCTTTCCGGTTCTGTTCTAAACATATTCCGAAAATTAGACGGCAATTGACATCATGTGTCTTGGAACGCCGTCGTCTTTGACGGAGTCGATTCATTTGCAAGTTTTAGTTTGGAAATATTTCATTACTTGCTGATTATATTTCGTTAATCATGACATTGTTTGATTGTCGTTTTCACAACGACATTGCTTTCTTTTGTCATCGCGAGTATGAGTTGGCTTTCGAATGTTCACTGCCGCCCTCACGTCACGTATTGAGTTTGGAATCTGAGTCAGGTCTCACTCCTGGTCTCACTCCTCTCTAGTGCTATTGAATGCGTCCCATTGCATTCCTTGCTCCAAATTCTGCCTCAAATGATATTGGTGTGTGTTGTGCAACATGACAAATTGTTGTGGGCATGGACGACTGTGTGAATGAGACTCTGAGGTTCATTACGCGAAGAGTCAAAGACCAATGCCATCACGTCTCTTGTGTGCGCATAGAATCACATATTTCTGACCGCCTGAATTACATGTGACCTGCAAATTTCCGTTTGTGCAAAAACCTTTTGTTAAAATTGTGCAGGCATGCCAATCATCTTGCTCGAGACGGTTGCTTGGATGTTGTTGAGGTCCGGACTTCTTCAGAATACTTAGTTCAAGGATAGCACATATTAAGCAACATTTGAAGTTATTTTGTGTTATGACAGGTGTTGTACAAAAGGAATTCATCGATGTTTGCAATGACAAATTGGCCCCTGAACGAATATGTCAAATAAGGATACTGTATCAATTATGACACCTTGCTCATCGCAATTGTTAACAAGTATGGATCTCAGCACACTTCCACATATTGGGCGAGATGGTGGGCGTGTCTATCCTTGAACTAAGTATTCTGAAGAAGTCCGGACCTCAACAACATCCAAGCAACCGTCTCGAGCAAGATGGTTGGCATGCCTGCACAACTTACGGATGAACTGAACAGGTGTATTATCCAACAAGGATTCAGTTAGGACACATTGTTCATCACATTCATAAACACCTTTTTCAACAAGTATGGATCCCAACACACTTCCAGAACAGGCTTCCCGAATGGGTGTGCCTATCGCTGCCCCATGTCCACACTTCAAGTATGGATCTCAACACACTTCCGCATGTGGTCAACCTTGGATGGGCATGCCTACGTTGCTTAGGCTGCAGCCACAAATGAATTCGTTGAAAAGAGGACACAGTATAATGTCCTATTTTAACAAATAACATGTTACCTATATGCATCCTGAATTACGAAGAGATTCGTAGTCTGATCTTAGGGGAATGCCACAACACCGAAGGACATTCTGGTTGGAGGAAAGCGTATGCGACCCTCCTCCGGTCCTACACGTGGCCCGGTATGAAACACGATTGTGTCATATATATTCAAGACTGCAAAGTCTGTTTAACTTGGAGGAACAAAATTTCCACGAAGCCTCCCCTAGGACTATTGAAGCCCTTGCCTATCCCGTCAAGCCCCGACGAGTCCGTGTCAATCGATTTCATGGACACGAAGGCTAAGAGTAGGAATGGTAAAAGCCAAGTAATGGTCATGGTCGACAAATTTAGTAAGTTCTCTGTTTTCGTTTCGTTGCCTACCCAGACAATGAAGTTAGTGATTAGAGAGTTCTTTAACCATTGGGTCAAGGACAACAGGCACCCTATGATCATAGTTAGTGACCGCGACATAGGTTTACAGGTGAGCACTGACAGCAGTTGATGAAAGTCTATGGGTCTAAGTTGACCATGTCGTCAGGCCGACAACCCGAGACTAACGGCCAGACTGAACATATGAACAAACTGCTGCAGCAAGTGCTATGGATGTATATTAGACCAGACCAAGAGGATTGGGACGACGACCTCCCTAAGGTAGCAAGTGGATATAACAATTTAGTACACTTAGCTACTTCGCGGACGCCCAACGAACTACACAGAGGATGG